TTTCGTTGTTTCAATTTTGTATGTTTCCATTTTTTCTATTTTTCAATTTGAAAATTTTCAGTTTGCGACTTCCCAGTTTCTTAGTTTTTATTTTTCAATTTCAGTTTTTCAAATTTTCAATTTGGCTATTTTGCAGTTTTTCAATTTTTAAACTTTACAGTTTTAAAATTACTCCAATTTTCAGTTTTTAGATATTTTGATTTTCCGTTTTCTCTATTTTTCGATTTTTAGTTTCATAATTTTTCATTTTTAAGTTTAAATTTTACATTTTTCGATTTTTGAGTTTCTCGATTTATCAATTTTTCCCTTTCAAATTTTAGAATTTTTCATTTTTCTAGTTTCCAATTTTTAGTTGCTCGATTTTTAATTTTTCGAGTTCTCAATTTTCCAAAAAAAAAGAAATTTATTCAAATCGACATTTTTTTTAATTATTTTCCCTAATGGACGTTTCTTCGAGAAATTGGGAAATCGAAAAATTGGCAATACGAAAAATCAAAAGCTGAAAAATCGAAAAAAGAAAAAGTCTCCAAAAATGTAAAAAACGGATAATGCTACAAAAAACCTTCGAAAGCATAATGAAAAAAAAAACAACTAAAAAATGAGGAAAAAAACTAAAAAAGGAAGAGAAGAAGCCAGCCAAATAGGGGACAAAAAAATGTGTAAAAAATGCAAAAAAAATATGGAGCCAAAAAAGTCTACAAAAATTAAAATACAACGGGAAAAATGTCAAAAATGCAAACAGAAAATGTAAAGAAAGTTGACAAAGACGTAATGAAAAATGGGAAAGGAAAAAGCTTGATAAAGAAAAGATGGAAAAATGGTTCACAAGGAAAAGCTATAGAAAAGGGCACAAAATAACTACAAAAAAATGTGGAAAAAAACCAAAAACTTTACAAAAAAACACGACACAAACACGATCCGAAAAAAAGAAAAAAAAAAAACTACTTCAAAGATGCTAAGAAAAGCAATAAAAAAGGTATCAAGAAGATTTCGTGTACGATTTAAAGTTAAAAGAGAACGCTGTACCTAATATTTTAAAGCTCAAAATTTCAAATATAAAGCTCCATTTAAAATTATCAATCCAGAAAACACAATTACTAAAAAAATATCAAGATTCAAAATTCGGTATCCACTGATAAACAATTTACAAATCGAGTGTTTAAGAAACTCCTACCAAAATTTATTGCTACAGAAAGAAGACGATTTTTCTATTTTTTCCGTCTTTTAGTTTTTACATTTTTAAACTTTTCGAAAAAAATAATGGAAAAACTGCAAAATTGTAAAATTGAAAAGTTAAAAATCAAAAAACAATATAGTATAAAATGAAAATTTTGAAAAATCTAAATATTGGAAATCAAGAACTTGAAAACTGAAGAAACGAAAAACTGAAAACCCGAAAATATCAAAAATTGAGAAACTTAACTAATCGAAAAAGTCCAAAACGTAAACACGAAATATTTAAAAATCGAAATATTGAAAATTAAAGAAATTGGAAAATCGGATAAGTGAGAAATCCTAAAATTGCAAAAAAACCAAAGAATTAAAAAAACGAAAAATTATAAAATCGAAAATAAAGGAAATTAAAAAACCAAAAATTCTGATATAAAATAGAAAAAATGAAAATGAAAATATCGAGAAAATGAAAATTAAAAAATTTGAGCAAATGAAAAATAAAAATAAAGAATTTGAAAAATTGAGGAAACAAAAATTGAAAAATTAAAAATTTAGAACTCGAAAAATTGGATACCTATGAAATCGAAAAATTGCAAAATTGAAAAATTTAAAAATTGGAAAATCGAAGAATTGAAAAAACGAAAAATTATAAAATCTTATCAGACATTTAAAAAATAGAGGAAATTATACAGGAAAAAATGCAACTTAAAATCGGCAAAATGAAAATGAAAAAATCGAGAAAATGAAAATTAAAAAACTGAGACAATGAAAAATAAAAATCTGGAATCTGAAAAATTGAGGAAACGAAAAATTGAAAAATCGAAAATTTAGAACTCAAAAAATCGGATAACTGTGAAACCCAAAAAGGAAATTGAAAACGAAAAATTGTGATATAAAATTGAGAAAATGAAACTTAAAAAATCGTGGAAATGAAAATTAAAAAATCGAGAGAACAAAAAATAAAAATCAAGAATTTGAAAACATGAAGAAATGAAAAATTGAAAAACTTTAAATTTAGAAATCGAAAAACCGGATAATTTAGAAATCCAAAAATTGCAAAATTGAATAAATTAAAAGTTGAAAAATAGAAGAACTGAAAAAACGAAAAATAATAAAATCTAAAGAGACATTTAAAAAATAAAGGAAATTAAAAAACCAAAAATTGTGATATAAAATCGAGAATATGAAAAATAATAATCACGAATTTGAAAAATTGAGAAAACTAAAACAAACATTTAAGAAACAAAGGAAATTAAAAACGAAAAATTGTGATATTAAATCGAGAAAATGGAAATTAAAACGGGAGAAAATGAAAAATAAAAAATCAAAAATTTGAAAATTGAGCAATCTAAAAATTGAGAAATCAAAAATTTAGAAATCGGAAAACCGGATAATTGAGAAATCCAAAAATTGCAAAGTTGAAAATTTTAAAATTTGGAAAATCGAAGAATTGAAAAAATGAAAAATAAAAAAAATTAAAAACCAAAAATTGTGATATAAAATCGATAAAATGAAAATCAAAAACTCGAGAAAATGAAAAATAAAAATCTATAATTTGAAAAACTGAAAAAAGGAAAAATGATAAAATTTAAACAAACATTTAAAAAATAAAGAAAATTAAAAACGAAAAATTGTGATATAAAATAGAGAAATGAAAATTAAAAAATCGAGGAAATGAAAAATAAAAGTCAAGAATTTGAAAAATTGAAAAATCGAAAATTTAGAAATCGTAAAATCGGGTAACTGAGAAATCCAAAAATTGCAAAATTGAAAAATGTTAAAAGTTGGAAAAACGAACAATTGAAAAAATGAAAAATAAAAGAAATTAAAAACGAAAAATTGTGATATAAAATCGAGAAAATAAAAATTAAAAAATCGAGAAAATGGAAATTAAAAAGGGAGAAAATGAAAAATAAAAACGAAGAATTTGAAAATTTAGGAAACCAAAAATTGAAAAATCGAAAATTTAGAAATCTGAAAACCTGATAATTGAGAAATCCAAAAATTGCAAAATTGAAAATTTTAAAAGTTGGAAAATCGAAGAATTGAAGAAATGAAAAATAAAGAGAACTAAAAACGAAAAATTGTTATATAAAATCGATAAAATGCAACTCAAAAAATCGAGAAAATGAAAAATAAAAATCTAGAATTTGAAAAACTGAAAAAACGAAAAATGAAAAAATTTAAACAACCATTTAAAAAATAAAGAAAATTAAAAACGAAAAATTGTGATATAAAATGAGAAATACAAAAATTTTAAAGTAGGAAAATCGAAGAACTAAAGAAAGACGAAAAATTTTAAAATCTAAACACAAAACATAGGAAATTAAAAACGAAAAATTTTTATATTAAAAAATCGAGAAAATGAAAATTTAAAAATCAAGAAAATGAAAAATTAAAAACCAAAATTTATTGCTACAGAAAGAAGACGAAATTTATTGTTTAAAAGAAAAAATTAACAGCTTAAATTTAAAGAATTTAAAAATTGATAACAAACTGTCCACAATGTTGGTTGGTTTAGATTATTTACGTTTATATTTAATATTTTTTTTATTACACATTCTATTTTTTGTATTTTTATCTGATACTTACGTTTTATAAAATTGTAATATGAGGAATAAAACATCAGTATCACTAGCATTATAAATGAAGAAAAAACCCTTGAAATATAAGGTGTATATCGAATAATTAATAGAAGGAAAATAACAATTTATCTGTTTTTAATTAACAGTATTAAGAGTAGTTAACAGAATGAAGAGGGGGTGGGTGGGCGGGACTACTGCTTGTCTATAACAGACTATCGAGGAATAAGTTAAACTTAGCCCCGCCCACCCACCCGTTCTCTGATATGGATTTTTCAATTAAACTCCGCCTCTCTATCTCTATCACAACTGAGACAGGGGCGGGTGGGCGGGGCTTAATTATTGGCTTCTTTTTCTTGGTGTATATCTATTTTCAACAAAACGATATTTAAAACAAAATTCTAATCTCAAATTTACCATTTGATATTTAAAGTATTTTTATTATAAGCCCCACCCAGAGTTTGCACATTTTAGACAAAATACATTCGGCAAAATTTTGAGTTGACGTCATCAATTTTTTGGAGGGGATAAGTAAATATATTTTGATTAAACATTCATCATGCTTATCATAACTTTAAAGCATCTACAAGATTCCAAGGCCGTTCGGTTTTGCAGATTCAAAATTAAATTGCAAAAATCAAGTTGTTAAAAATATATGTACGTATCAAAAATTGTCAAAGTTTTCAAAACTCTATGTGTCTGGTGTTTTATTTTCGGATAAATTTAAAGGAATCTGGAGTTTGTTGCTGGATAAACTCGAAAAAAATCTATTGAGTTTATGTCATCTGCCAAAATCAGTTTTATCTTAGCAGGTCCTAGCCCCGCCCACCCACCCTCCCTTTTCTTGGAAGGTATGTCATCTGCCAAAATCAGACTTATCTTAGCAAGTACTCATGACCAACGTTTACAAAAAATTATCAAAATTTGGGAAAAGCAGGAATTTTGAACATCTTCTCTACAGGGACACCGAAAAACTATAAAAATGGGAATTGTCGAAGCAAATAATATTTGTTTCTACTGTTTGAAGGCTTTCAAAGAAGAATGAAAGCTCCAAGCTCAATACAAAGTGTTCTTTGTACCCATTTTATATTTTATTTATCGAAATGTTATCCCATATTTGCGTATGATTATTTATTATCTACACCCAGTATGCAAACAGTGGAAATACATTTACACTTCACCGACATCTTTTTCAATTTAGTAAATGATAGGAGTACTACAGGGAGCTTAGATACTAAATTTACCTTTTTATGTATATATATTTTATTACACCATTAAATATTACGGGCTGAGGGTGGTATAATCACTGGATAAATTACGAACGACATTAAAAGCGTTTTCGGGAATCATTAACCTGCTACTCAGTCCCGCTGGTCTAATCATCATCTTCGCATACTTAAGACTGTAATCCTTTCCACGGTATGTGGCCCAATAGAGTCCATCCCCTTGGTGGTAGCTTTGATAGCTCTTGTAATATCTTCCAGTAAGCAATGATTCGCTGCAATTGCGGTACCACCATCCTGCATTTTTTTTAAAAACGCATTCGAAAGTTTGGGGATCTCGGTTGTGGTCTTTCGTGCTGAACTTAGAGCCAACGTTACCACTTAACGAATCCCCAGCACTGCCGTGATATCCTCTCAATATCTTCAACATATACCCTTCATATTCACTACCAACACTAAAAAAATCGTACAACGCGTACGCTTTTTTCTCGTCCCAATCTTCCAGTTCGATGAGGAGTTCATTAGCTTCTCCACCTATTATTCAAAACAAATAACAACTTGTCGCAACAAAACGAGATAAAAACCTGTTAAAAGGTGTAAGGTGTCCAACCCCAACCAAAACTCTCCTTTGATGTTGCCAAACCCGTGTTTGTAATCAGGCCACAGTAAATCGAAAGATTGAGACCCATTGTACCTGTTGAGGACGTAAGTCCAGCCGCCCCCCAAGGTGTCCATGTCGCACAAGACCAAGACTGGTCGTCGGGCACCCAAGGGTTTGATATAATAAAAATCGGATTCCTCGAAGCCTTGTTGTAGAACGTGATGGCAACTTTCTTGCCGCTTGTGTGGACGCATTTTTGATAATTTAATTTTTTTTGGCTTGGGTTCTGAATTTTCAGCTATTTGCTCTAGTTTTTTTACGCGTTGGTCAAGGTTATCAAGTTTTTCTGCGAGATTGACGATGTAGGGTGGGCAAATGGGTGTAGTGGAGATACCGACATTCTATAAGAATTAAATTGGTAAAACGAATAATGTCTGCGTGGACTTACTTCTTCAGCATGGTTGACTAAACATTTCACCGAAATTATAACTGCCAGGAAAACAAGTGAGTGCATTTTATTCGTTGTCAATAACAAACTGTTACTTGTACGCTGTTCGTATTGTATTTATCGAAATTTTATCCCATATTTTCCTAAGATTATTTAGTAGGTCGTTGCTTTATTTGGAGTGGTTATCTGTATCAAGAATGAAAACAGTTTAAATATTTATACTTTTTCGAACACGGATGATAAAAACATAATTTTAAAAAATGGTAGTTGACACGTGCAACGGAAAAAAATTCTAAATCAAGTTAAGGAAACTCTACCTACTGAAAGTTCAACAAAAAATCATTCTTATTCAAACGTTGCAAGCAAATCTAAATCTACTGTTAGTTTGCAACCAATTCTCAATTGTGATGAATTTCATATGGTAATTTGTTGTAGAGAAATGAGGATTTTGCAACTAAACTCCGCACTTTAGCTCACGTTGAATAAAGCATTCGTCACAATTGAGAAGGGGTGGGTGGGCGGGGCTTGTATTTTTTCCATTTTTTCTTACCATTAGAAGTCTTCCTTTCCCAACAAAAAACTTAAAGCATGTTTAACTTTCCTGTTGTTGAAAGAAAACTCTATGTATTATAAAACAAAAACAAAGATTAACTTTAGAATTTTCAATTTTTCGACTGTTTTATATTTCGATTTCTCAATTTTTCAACTTTTCCATATTTTACTGTTTCAATTTTCAAAAGTCTAGATTTTTCTCGAGTTTCCAATTCTATATTTTAATTTTTCAATTTTCGATTTTTTAATTTTTTTGGATCTCAATTTATCGAGATGTTTCGATCTTTAAATTCTTCGGTCTCTGAATTTTTCAATTTTTCGACCTCTCGATCTTTCGACTCCTCGAGTTCTCGATCTTTTGATTTTTCGATTTCTCGATGTAGCAGTTTTTGTATTTTTCGATGTTTCAATTTTTCGATTTTTCGATATCTTGATTTTTGAATTTTCCGAGTTTTTAAATTTTCTAGTTTCGATTTTTAGTTTTTGATTTTTTGATGTTTGGATTCCTTTTCAATTTTACGATATTTTAATTTTTCAATGTTTTAAATTTTCGATTTTTCGATTTTTCAGTTCTTGAATATTTTTTAAGTTTTAAAATTTTCACGTTTCTGAATTTTCAGTTTTCCCATTTCTCCACTTCCCAAAGTTTCGATCTTTCAGTTCTTCAATATTTGATTTTTCAGGTTTTTGGTTTTTCAATTTTTCGATTTTTTAAGTTTGCGACTTTTCGACTTTTTCAAGTTTTTTATGTTCCAGTTTTTAGACACTTCAATCAATTTTCTGACTTTTCAGTTTTTCGATTCTTCAATTTTACAATTTTTCGATATTTGAGTTTTGGGATTTTTTAGTATTTCGACTTTTCAATTTTTCGAGTTCTGGATTTGTTGATTTGTCGGCTTTTTACTTTTTGGATTTTCAATTTTTCGTTTTTTATAATGTGGTTTTTTCAATTTTTCGATTGTTTTATCCTTCGGTTTCTCAATTTTAAAACTTTTCAATATTTAAAACGTGGGTGGGTGGGCGGGGCTTGTATTTTGTCCATTTTTCTTAATACACCAAGTCTTCTTTTCCCAAAAAGAAACTAAAAGCATGGTTAACTATCCTGTTGTTGAAAGAAAACTCTATGTATTAAAAAAAAACAAAGATTAAGCCCCACCCACCCGCCCCAATCTCAATTGTGATGAATTTTATATGGTAATTTGTTGTAGAGAAATGAGGATTTTGCAACTAAACTCCGCCCTTCAGCTCACGATGAATAAAGCATTCGTCACAATTAAGAAGGGGTGGGTGGGCGGGGCTTATATTTTGTCCAGTTTTTCTTAATTTATGAAGTCTTCCTTTCCCAAAGAAAACTGAAAACATGTTTAACTTTCCTGTTGTTGAAAGAAAACTCTATGTGTTAAAAAACAAAAGCCAAAGATTAAGCCCCACCCACCCGCCCCCCTAGGAATTATGATGAATTTCATATGGTAATTTGTTGTAGAGAAATGAGGATTTTGCAACTAAACTCCGCCCTTCAGCTCATGATGAATAAAGCATTCGACACAATTGAGAAGGGGTGAGTGGGCGGGGCTTGTATTTTGTCTATTTTTTCTTACTATAAGAAGTTTTTCTTTCCCAACAAAAAACTGAAAACATGTCTAACTTTCCTGTTATTGAAAGAAAACTCTATGTACTAAAAAACAAAAACAAAGATTAAGCCCCACCCACCCGCCCCAATCGCAATTGTAATGAATTTCATATGGTAATTAGTTGTAGAGAAATGAGAATTTTGCAACTAAACTCCGTCCTTCAGCCCACGATGAATAAAGCATTCCTCACAATTAAGAAGGGGTGGGTGGGTGGGTGGGGCTTGTATTTTGTCCATTTTTTCTTAATGTATCAAGTCTTCCTTTCCCAACAGAAAAATGAAAACACCTTTAATTTTCCTGTTGTTGAAAGAAAACTATATATTAAAAAAAAAACAAAGAATAAGCGCCACCCACTCGCCCCAATCTCAATTGTGATAAGTTTCATATAGTAATTTCTTGTGGAGAAATGAGGATTTTGCTACTAAACTCCGCCCTTCAGCTCACAATGAATAAAGCATTCATCACAATTGAGAAGGGGTGGGTGGGCGGGGCTTGTATTTTGTCCATTTTTTTTAATATACCAAGTCTACTTTTCCCAACAAAAAACTGAAAACATGTTCAACTTTCCTGTTATTGAAAGAAAACTCTATGTATTAAAAAACAAAAACAAAGATTAAGCCCCACCCACCCGCCCCAATCGCAATTGTGACGAATTTCATATGGTAATTTCTTATAGAGAAATGAGGATTTTGCAACTAAACTCCGCCCTTCAGCTCACGATGAATAAAGCATTTGTCACAATTGAGAAGGGGTGGGTGGGCGGGGCTTGTACTTTGTCCATTTTTTCTTAATATATGAAGCCTTCCTTTCCCAACAAAAAACTGAAAACATGTTTAACTTTTCTGTTGTTGAAACAAAACTCTATGTATTAAAAAATAAAAACCAAAGAGTAGGCCCCACCCACCCGCCCAATCTCAATTGTGATAAATTTCATATGGTAATTTGTTGTAGAGAAATGAGGATTTTGCAACGAAACTCCTCCCATCGGCTAACGATGAATGAAGCATTCGTCACAATTGAGAAAGGGTGGGCGGGCGGGGCTTGTATTTTGTCCATTTTTCTTAATGTACCAAGTCTTCTTTTCCCAAAAAGAAACTGAAAGCATGGTTAACTATTCTGTTGTTGACTGAAAACATTATGTATTAAAAAAAACAAACAAAGATTAAGCCCCACCCACCCACCCCAATCTCAATTGTGATGAATTTCATATGATAACTTGTTGTAGAAAAATGAGGATTTTGCAACTAAACTCCGCCCTTCAGCTCACGATGAATAACGCATTCATCACAATCGAGAAGGGGTGGGTGGGCGGGGCTTGTATTTTGTCCATTTTTCTTAATATACCAAGTCTTCTTTTCCCAAAAAGAAACTTAAAGCATGGTCAACTATTCTGTTGTTGACTGAAAACTCTATGTATTAAAAAACAAACAAAGATTAAGCCCCACCCACCCGCCCCAATCTCAATTGTGATAAATTTCATATGGTAATTTGTTGTAGAGAAACGAGGATTTTGCAACTAAACTCCGCCCTACAGCTCACGATGAATAAAGCATTCGTCACAATTGAGAAGGGGGTGGGTGGGCGGGGCTTGTATTTTGTCCATTTTTTCTTACTATAAGAAGTTTTTCTTTCCCAACAAAAAACTGGAAACATGTTCAACTTTTTTGTTGTTGAAAGAAAACTCTATGTATTAAAAAACAAAAACCAAAGAGTAAGCCCCACCCACCCGCCCCAATCTCAATTGTGATAAATTTCATATAGTAATTTGTTGTAGAGAAATGAGTATTTTGCAACTAAACTCCGCCCTTCAGCTCACAATGAATAAAGCATTCGTCACAATTGAGAAGGGGTGGGTGGGCGGGGCCTGTATTTTGTCCATTTTTTCTTAATATATCAAGTCTTCCTTTCCCAACAAAAAACTGAAAACATGTTTAACCTTCCTGTTGTTGAAAGAAAACTATATATTAAAAAAAAACCAAAGAAGAAGTGCCACCCACCCACCCCAATCTCAATTGTGATAAATTTCATATGGTAAATTCTTGTAGAGAAATGAGAATTTTGCAACTAGACTCCACCCTTCAACTCACGATGAATAAAGCATTCGTCACAATTGAGAAGGGGTGGGTGGGCGGGGAATATATTTGGTCCGGTTTTTCTTAATATATCAAGTCTTCGTTTCCCAACAAAAAACTGAAAACATGTTTAACTTTCCTGTTGTTGAAAGAAAACTCTATATGTATATTAAAAAAACAAGGATTAATAGCGACTCTTTGTGTGTGTCTGGGGGAATGTTTGGCCCCTCCGATTGGTCTGGCTGCTTACAAAAATTATTGAAATAGTTCCCTGACTATCATATATAAAAATCAAAACTGAGATTATTAGTAAAGTTACATTATTTTTTTGGGAGCTTTAAAGCGTCTAGTAAAAGTTACCGCCGACGGCTGTATTAATTATTAATTTTTAACAATATTTTCTAAAACAACCGCAAAAATAAGCATTAACATTAAGGGCTTCGAGAAGGCTCAAAAGTGCTTTGCCTGTGGTAATTAAGATCACACAAAGTGTTAGAAAATTGAAGAGAGTGACCTTAAAATGTTGTGCAAATACGGAAATTTTCGCTATCTGTGTAATGAATGTCTTATTTTAGAGGGAAGCTTCAAAATTGATGTCTTAAAAGACATGTCGTAAAGTGTCTAAATCATAATAATCAAATTCTAAATCAAATTAAGGAAACTCTACCTTCTGAAAGTTCAACAAAAAATGATTCTTATTCAAACGTTGTTAGCAAATCTAAATCTACTGTTATTTTGCAACCAAAAGTTACTAAACAGTCGATTTCTACTACAAAAAAAGATTTATTGAGTCAAGTTGATCCTGTTAAATTGAATCTTGATGTTGCCTGTGTTAAACCTGGACGTAATG